GCACTGAAGAACGAGTGAACATAGTGCCATTAGTAACGAGTGAACATAGTGTCATTAGTAACGAGTGAGCACAGTGTCATTAGGGATGTTGAGAGGGTTCGTGGAGATATGATGGAGTTACACACTTGTTGAATGGTAACACTTACATTAGCAGTGTGTGACAAGGGAGCCCAGCCTGCCTGTTGTCTGTTGTAGACCTATGTGTGGAGTGAGAGAGGGACAGCGCGTCGACGCTCACATGCAGCATCACGTGACGTCACACATGCTAGCCATTGACCCTAGCAAGGGGGTCAACTATGTAAAACATGGATGGTACTATGATACTCAGATATACATATACGCGGGATCAGCAACTATGCTGACAGCTCGGTCATGTTACATATGTCGTCTCAACATACCGTGCTATGCTATAGGCTGAACAGGCAGGTGGCTCTGGGCTGATTCTATACAACAGCAAAGACATGTGTAACTTAGAACTAATGGATGGTATCGTAATGGGTGGTATCATAATGGGTGTTAATGTAATGCATTACGAATTATAAGAACAAATCATAGTATAATAAAAGATGGAATTGATCGATCGATCTGTATTCATGCACTCACGGATTCTGAGGAAGAATATATATTTACAAAGGTGGAAAGTAATTAACAGCAAAGACAGACCTGGCGTGCTCAGGTCATACTGCTATATCTCAGAATTTGGAGGGAATGTGAACACAAAAAAATTCTGAAAGCTGATCAGCTAATAATAAACACACAGTTGACAACTTCATTCATCTTGGACATCTAATTATACAGGCTATGTACATTTAAACCCAACTCTGCGAGGGTAAGATTTACATATGCAGAATGGTTATCGTCTTTGGGAGGATCGAATTCTTTTGCAATGGCTAACACATGCCTTGACTGAGGGAGATCTGAACAAGTATCTACAAAAGATACTTGGGGGTTTCTCATTACTTGTCGTGTACGCAAAGAATAGCAACATTCAGGTTGATCATCTGACTGTTAGAGGTAGAGGGTACAGAGTCAGGAGGATTGTCAGCATCTGTCACATTAATCTGGGTAGAAATATCATCATCATCATTACATACTAACTTCGTATGATCTAAATGCGATTCTTTATACTGACCAGTACTAATTTCTCTAACCTTATACTTATTGCCATTGATATGTCCAACTACTCGATAAGGACCAACAAACTTTTGATCAAGCTTAGGCATTGGGGATGTTTTGTTGAAGTTAGTCAGCATTACTTTAACTTTGGTTGGCTTAGCATGGCTATTAGTTACTCTTGTAAATTCTGCTGTTGACTTACAAAGTGTCTCACGGATTCTTCTAAAAACACTTTGAGCTAAGCTGGTACGAGTTGCTATGAAATAATCAGGGTTGTAATTGGGTTTCGGTGCAGAATATAACTCGTAAGGCAAACGCTTGTCTACACCATACAACGCATAATGTGGAGTGTCACCTATTGAAGCATTGTAAGTAGAATTTATGGCACATTGGACATCAGTTATAACTTCATCCCAGGTTTCACTGTTGGGATTGATAGTGGCTCTCAAGACATCAAGTACTTTCTTATTGGTTCGTTCCGCTAACCCATTACTGGCAGGATGATCAGGAACAATGGTGGATTTAGAGATCTTGTACAAGGTGCACAAATTCTCAAGAATCTCATTACAGAATTCACCTCCATTATCTGTTACTAGGGACTTAGGGGTGGTATGCCTACAGATTATACGCTCCTTGAAAGATTTAGCTACAGTCTCGGCAGTCTTATCTGCAATAGGAACTAACTCACAATATCTGGTGAAATGATCTACCATAACACACAGATGCTTGTTACCTTGGATGGAACATTGGAAATTGGTTAACAGATCTATGGCAACACGTGACGTCACACATGCTAGCCACTGAGCCTAATAAGGGGTCAACTGTGTAAACCATATGGATGGTACTAACTATGATACTCAGATAACATATACATATACAGGGGATCAGCAACTATGCTGACAGGGACGAGTGAGCACAGTGTCATTAGGGACGAGTGAGCACAGTGTCATTAGGGACGAGTGAGCACAGTGTCATTAGGGACGAGTGAGCACAGTGTCACTAGGGACGAGTGAGCACAGTGTCACTAGGGACGAGTGAGCATAGTGTCATTAGGGACGAGTGAGCACAGTGCCTTGTAACACACCTGAGTTCTAGTTCCACTTGTGGTTCTGTTAATAATGTCCTTAGCAAACAACATTCAGAAAACTTCCTTTACAGATCAATATTATGAATTTATTATGTAATGAAGTAGAGCTATGATGTCAAGTAGTCGCTAGCATTAATAAGGAAGGTTGCTTACGTGTGATTAACATACCTTTCTGGCGACTCACTAAACCATAATCATTGACTCTCTCTCTGTATTCACCTATTTGTGGTTGAAAGGGTCGATTCACAGCTCCTGGCCCCGCCTCATCGCTGTTCACTAGTAGGTCCACACACTCCCTGCTCCATGAGTACTCGCTTATTTGTACTTGCCTATTTGTGGTTGCAGGGGTCGATTCATAGATCCTGGCCCCCCCCCCCCGCTTCACTGATCGCTACTAGGCCCTCTTTCCCTTTTCCATGAGCTTCATCAAACCTCGTCTTAAAACTATGTATGGTTCCTGCCTCCACTACGTCACTTTCTAGGCTATTCCACTTTCTGACAACTCTGTGGCTGAAGAAATACTTCCTAACATACCTTTGACTCATCGAAGTCTTCAACTTCCAATTGCGGCTCCTTGTTTCTGTGTCCCATCTCTGGTACATCCTGTCTTTGTCCACCTTGTCAATTTCTCGCAGCATGTGTCGTTATCATGCTTCCCTTTTCATAGTTGTAACACTTACTAGTTCCTCTTTTAGTTCATTGCATTGGTCAACCATTCTGTGAAGATTTTTTGTATCCTGCCGATCGTTTTTTTTCTTAACTTACAACTGTGGCCTCTTTATTATTTATTCTTAATATATACTTATCATGTCTGTCCCTGTCAGCCAGCGTGGGTATTAGTGTTGACCTTTCAGCTCTGAAAGCCATTTTTTAACTTCTTTGGACCTTGTCTAACGTACCCATATTTTTGTACTCTCTATATCTGCTTCAGATATTACATTAAGTTTTTAATGTAAAATAACCAAAGCCTCATACCCAGGAACCTATTTACTGTTAGGTGAAGAGGGACAGTAAGTGTCATCAGATTTGGCTATATTTTTCAACCCACTTGGAAATCGACCCCTCGTCCCTTCGATTGTGAGTAAAATGGTGAAGCAGTGAGCTTCAGGTCTCCCCAGTGTAATTGACGATTCTTGAGTTAGTATCTTAGTAGGTAGTAAGTTGATTAGAGAATACTGTATCAACATCATTGGTCCCAGATTTTTAATACCTTACAGAAGATAGAAATACTGCTGGGATAAATGTAAAGTCTTCAAGAGGTAACTTGGCAAGTACCTCCACCAAGTGGGATCAACCTGGCTGTGGTGGATATATGAGCTTGAGTCGCCAGCAGCAACAGCGTAGTTGCCCTGAGTAGGCAAGCACCAGACAAGCCTGGCCCAGGGCCGAGCTGCGACAGTAGGTCAAGTCTCGAAACCCATCACAGGTAAAGATATCACCCGGAGAATGAAAAAAGAATCCTAACATACCTGTGACCCATCTTTGAGAAGGAAATACCTACATAATAATTCCCGCCCTTCAGGAACGAAACCCTCGTGGCTCTAGTAAGTGATTAACATCTGATGGGGCTGGATTCAATCCCAGCACAAGTGGAAACTTTGGGCATGTTTTCATACACTTGATGCCTCTGTCCACCTAGCAGCAAGTAGGTACTTTGTGTTCGTCGACTACTGCGACTTCTACCCTACCCAAGGACCCCAATGGAAATAACCCGAACATAGTGGCTTTATTGGTTTATCCTGGGTTGCTAACTCTCCGGGTTAATAATCCGGATAAAATCTTTAATCCATAGCGAAATACTTAATGATATCTTTGTCGCCCTACAGAAGTCTCCTATCTCAGGCATGAAATTAAGACACAGGTGCAACATCTGGGTATCTTTATTGTAGACGTTTCGCCATCCAGTGGCTTTATCAATACATATCAATATCTCAGGCATGCTGGCATATAACAGGAAAACAGAACCAGCTTTTCCTTCTGCTGTGCAGCTATCGTATAGAATTGAGTAATTAAGCATTATACTTATTTTTGTTTATTATATCTTTATTTACTACAAGTACATGTACATGGTATACAGTCCTAGCTGACATCAATGATATACTAATATATAGAAAGCCGCTTGTTATGTTGAGCATTTCGGGCAAATTTGGTCAGTTTTGTCCCTAGGATGCGACCCACACCAGTCGACTAACACCCAGGTACCCATTTTACGTTGATGGGCGAACAGGGACAGCAGGTGTCTTATGGAAACACGTCCCTAATGTTTTCCAGCCGTACCGGAGATTCGAACCCCGGATCTCAGTGTGTGAGCTGAGTGCGCTAGCGATCCAGCTACGGGACTATACGGGATATATATTTTGTTTTGCGTTTAAGCTGCAAGTATGCGACCCATACTAGCCAATCGTCACTCTGGATGCTGGAGAAATGTCAAGTAGCCAATCAGAGAGGTGCATCCTTGAGGCGTGGCAGCAGCTAGCCAATCCAGGAGGTGTATTAGAGAGGTGTAAGAGAGAGAGACTCCCACCATCAGTTGACCTTGGGTGGGTGCGAGCTGGTGCTCTGAGGGGGTGATGTTGAACTTTGTTTCTAGGCGAACACACTCCGCCGTCGCCGCTGCTGCCGTCGTGTCTCACTCCCTCTTCCCCCCCCCCCCTATTATTTTTTAAATTGCCATGTGAAGTATTTTATATAAATGCATGCGGTTGGTAAAGTACGTGTGGGAGGGGAGTGAAGATCAGCTGAGGAACACAAGTAAAACAGTAAACAGATTCCGGAAGAAAGGATAATGTTGAGGAAAGATGAAAAAATGGCTGGTGAGCGACAAGAGTGAGATGTCGATAAAAGTGATGATAGATTAAGAACAATAACGTTAGTGAGTGAATGGCTAACTGGCAGTCTGTGTGTGTCTGGCTGGCTGGCTGACTGACGCAGACAAGCAAGCAGGCAGGACCCAGCCGGGAGTCGGGACATCTCAGTGGTGTTGCAGTAGTGGTGGAGGATAGGTGTGTATCAGCTGGTGGGTCATGCAACTGTGTACAGCATATTTGACCACCGGTGGGTATTCCAGCTTGCTTATAACACTCATCATAGAACCTTTCTTTACTCACCTGCCACAGATCTTGCAAGAAGGAAAGCATCAGCTGTGTGACTCAGCAAAAGTAATGAGATGTTACAGTTACCATGGTGATGATAGACTTCCGTAGTTGCTGATGTTGTCCGGTGGCCGTGTTGCTGGTAGTGTCCGGTGGCCGTGTTGCTGGTAGTGTCCGGTGGCCGTGTTGCTGGTAGTGTCCGGTGGCCGTGTTGCTGGTAGTTGTCCGGTGGCCGTGTTGCTGGTAGTGTCCGGTGGCCGTGTTGCTGGTAGTGTCCGGTTACCTGGAGGTTATTCCGGGGATCAATGCCCCCGCGGCCCGGTCCATGACCAGGCCTCCCGATGGATCAGGGCCTGATCAACTAGGCTGTTACTGCTGGCCGCACGCAGTCCAACGTACGAGCCACAGCCCGGCTGATCCGGCACTGACTTTAGGTATCTGTCCAGCTCTCTCTTGAAGGCAGCCAGGGGTTTATTGGCAATTCCCCTAATGCTTGATGGGAGGCTGTTGAACAGTTTTGGGCCCCGGACACTTATGGTGTTTTCTCTTAGTGTACCAATGGCGCCCCTACTTTTATTGGGGCATTTTGCATCGCCTGCCCGTTTTTTTACTTTCGTAGGGAGTGATTTCTGTGTGCAGATTTGGGACCATTCTTCCAAGATTTTCCAAGTGTAGATTATGATATATCTCTCCCTCCTGCGTTCCAACGAGTTACAAGTCAAGTGCTTCCAAGCGTTCCCAGTATTTAAAGGTGCTTGACAGAACTTATACGTGCATTAAGAATCTCTGTACACTCTCTAAAATCTGCGATTTCACCTGTTTTGAATGGAGATGTTAATGTACAGCAGTATTCCAGCCTAGAGAGAACAAGTGATTTGAAAAGGATCTTCATGGGCTTGGCATCTCTCGTTTTGAAAGTTCTCATTATCCTTCCTATCATTTTCTTTGCACGTGCGATCGTGGCACTGTTGTAATCCTGAAAGTGAGATCCTCAGACATTACTACTCCCAGGTCCCTTACATTATTTTTCCGCTCTATTGTATGGCCGGAGCCCAGTAGTATACCGGGTTCTAGTTATTATCTCCTCCAGTTTTCATAACGGAGTAGTTGGATTTTTTCCTCATTGAACATCATATTGTTTACCGTCTGCCACGGAAAACTTTGTTTAATATCTTCTGAGTTACCGCGTCCTCAGAGATGACAGCCTCATGCAGATCCTAGTATCATCCGCAAAGGATGATACGGTGCGGGTGGTGTATATCTCTGTTTATGTCTGATATGAGGTAAGGAATAAGATGGGGGCGAGTACTGTGCCTTGTGGAACAGAGCTCTTCACTATGGCAGCCTCCGATTTAACTCTGTTGACCACTACTCTTTGTGTTCGATTTGTTAGGAAGTTGAAGATCCATCTCCCCATTTCCAGTTATTCCTTTAGCACGTATTTTATGGGCTATTACGCCATGATCGCATTTGTCAAATGCTTTGCAAAGTCTGTGTATATTAATCTGCATTCTGATTTTCTTCCATGCATCCAAGGCCATGTCATAGTGATCCAGTAGTTGTGAGAGGCAGGAGCGACCTGCCCTGAACCCATGTTCCCCTGGATTGTGCAGATTTTGGGAATCCAGGTGATTTGCAATCCTGCTTTTTAGCACTCTTTAAAAAGATTTTTATGATGTGGGACGTCAGAGGTATTGGTCTATAGTTCTTAGCTAATGCTTTGCTGCCACCTTTATGGAGTGGGCTATATCCGTTGTTTTAAGTGACTGTGGAATTTCACCCATGTCCAAGCTCCTCCTCCATAGTGTACTTAGGGCACGCGAGAGGGGTTTCTTGCAGTTCTTAATGAAAACAAGTTCCACGAGTCTGGGCCCGGGGCTGAGTGCATAGGGCATGTTGTCGATGGCTTTTTCGAAATCTATCGGAGTTAGGGTAATGTCGGAAATCTGGCATACATTTATGGAGTTTTGAGGCTCTTTTCATGAAGAAATCATTTGGGTCGTCGATCCTCACCCCGATTAGTGGTCACTAAACACTGAGTCGTACTGGGATTTAAATATTCACTCATTTCCTTGTTGTCGTCTGTGTAAGTCCCATCCTGTCTGAGTAAGGGCCCGATACTAGATGTGGTATTTGCCTTGTTTTTGGCATATAAAAGAAATATTTTGAATTTCTTTCAATTTCACTAATAGCTTTAAGCTCCTCCTGCCTCTCCTGGTTCCTGTAAGAGTCATTTAGCTTAAGTTCGATAGTTTCCACTTCCCTGGTCAGCGCCTCCTTTCGTGTATCAGATATTCCAGCATCCTGAGGAGCTCAGTGACTCTTCGTCATCTTCTGTAGAGGGAGCGTCTTTTTCTCTCCAGTTTACTCCTGCTCTTCTTCTTTCTTGGGGGAAATATGCCTAGAACATGCTTCGGCTACCAGGAAGTTGATCCTTTCAAGGCATGGTTTGGATCCATGTCATTTAAGACATCTTCCCAACATGTTTCGTTTAGGACATGGTTTACCTGGCCCCAGTTGATGTTCTTGTTGTTAAAATTTGTATTTTGTGAAGACACCTTCACAGGTACATGCATTTTGTTGTTCAGGACCCCTATGCATGTACGTCTGGACTTCGATTAGATTGTGATTGGAATTAGTTGTTTTTGATATTCTTATGTCTCTTATCAGGTCCTCATTATTTGTGAAGAAAAAGGTAAGTGTGTTTTCTAGTCTTGTTGGCTCCACTATCTGCTGGCTTAAGGTGTGTTTTTCGCAGAGACTTAGTAGCTCATGTGTGTGTGACCTTTCATCTGCGCTACCTCCGGGGATTGTTTAAAGCTATAAACATTATTTGCTACATTCTTCCATTTTGTATGCCTTAGGTTGAAATCACCAAGCAGTAAGATGTTTGGGGATGGAGCTGGAAGGTTTTCCAAACAGTAATCGATTTTCAGTAGCTGTTCCTTGAACTGTTGTGAGGTTGCATCTGGTGGCTTGTATACAACCACAATGACTAGGTTTTGGTTCTCGATCTTTATTGATAGAACTTCAACTACCTCATTTGTGGTGTTCAGCAACTCCGTGCAGATAAGGGACTCTGACATACAGGCCAACCCCCCCTTGTTGCCTGTTTTTTCTGTCGCATCTAAAAAGGTTGTAACCACTTACCATATTTCACTGTCAAAGTGATCTTTTGTGTGAGTCTCTGTGAAGGCTGCAAACTTTGCATTGACTCCACTAGAAGTCCACTGTAAAAGGTATTTTGTTGTTGGTGGATGGCTTAAGGCCCTGTATATTAGAAAATATGAACGAGGTTGTATTCTGTGTTTCTTGGGGGGATTTTGTTTTTTGGCATCAGTAAGTTGTAATTCTGGAGGGCCATGGTGGCCACTGGCTGCGCCCCCAGTCCAACAAGGCTCCAAGGTGGTGGCTATTTTTGTTATTTCCTTTCCCATTTTCTTTTTTCGTTTCCTCCCACTAAAAAATCACCGGGAAAGTTGGGTTGTCGAGCTACTATTGTTTGTCTTGTGGGGTCTGTGCCCCCTGGTCCCTTTTAGATGGTATGCAGGGCACTCGATGTTGTAACACTGCTTCTGGAGGCCCGAGGAGTGGCACATTTTTGGGTGAAAGAAAGTACAGGAAGAAGAACGACACGCCCCTTTAGACAGGAGGTCGCTACATTTTTTGGGATGGTCAAAGTTGCATGTCTCATTTTTTTCCCCTGTTATTCCATGCTACAGATGCCCCAAGCATAATATTGCACAATTCACCTTTGGTTGAGAATTGTTGGGAGGTGTGTTTAAATTTTTCTGCAGGTTTTTGGGACTGCACTATCATCCTCAGTATCCAAGCCAGGGCCACCCCGTCCTGGATTCCATCTATTTTCCCCCATAAGAGGAAGAAGGAGGGGGACTCCTCTCCAACATCTGTACTGTGGGCCACGGTCTTGTGCAATGATGGTTGTATATTTACTGTTTTTGTGGTGGTTTGGGTAGTGTCCCTAGGAGAGTCTGGGCTGGCAGTAAGGCGGGGGCTGGGTCTGGGTCAGCACTGGGGCTGGGGGGTGGGGCTGGGTCTGGGTCAGCGGCTGGACCTGGGCCAGCACTGTGGGTATTAGTGCTATGACTGGGGGAGCCTGGGCCAGCACCAGCACTGTGGGTATTGGTGCTATGCCTGGGGGAGCCTGGGCCAGCACCAGCACTGTGGGTATTAGTGCTATGACTGGGGGATGGGTCTGGCTTAGCTCCATGTGGGTGACTAGATAGTTTCGAGTCATCTGTTGTGGTATGGACATTCTGCATTTTTTGATACACTATCTCTTGCTCCCATGTTTTATATATTTTTGGTAGACTATCCAAGAGGTCATCCTTGTTTTCTTGATTATTTTTATCATTTATTACTCTCCTTAGTACCTTTCTGATACCTGGCCGTGTTGCTGGTAGTGTCCGGTGGCCGTGTTGCTGGTAGTGTCCGGTGGCCGTGTTGCTGGTAGTGTCCGGTGGCCGTGTTGCTGGTAGTGTCCGGTGGCCGTGTTGCTGGTGGTGTCCGGTGGCCGTGTTGCTGGTGGTGTCCGGTGGCCGTGGTTGTGGTGGTGTCCGGTGGCCGTGTTGCTGGGGGTGTCCGGTGGCCGTGTTGCTGGTGGTGTCCCGGGGGCCGTGTTGCTGGTGGTGTCCGGTGGCCGTGTTGCTGGTGGTGTCCGGTGGCCGTGTTGCTGGTGGTGTCCGGTGGCCGTGTTGCTGGTGGTGTCCGGTGGCCGTGTTGCTGGTGGTGTCCGGTGGCCGTGTTGCTGGTGGTGTCCGGTGGCCGTGTTGCTGGTGGTGTCCGGTTTGGGCCCTGTTGCTGGGGTGTCCGGTGGCCGTGTTGCTTGGTGGTGTCCGGTGGCCGTGTTGCTGGTGGTGTCCGGTGGCCGTGTTGCTGGTGGTGTCCGG